GTAGGAGGTTACACATTAACTCTAAAATATTTGGGAATTCTATTCTGGACTTTCTTTTAGATATAGTTCATAAGTCATAGAAGGAAATCTTATTACTGCATAAAAATAATAGATATTATATTCATAATAGCAGTAAAACCTATAAATCCCTTAGGAATAAACAATTGAAAAGTACTGAAACTACATGAAGGAAACTATAAAAACGACTACTATACTTAGACACCATCTTAAACAATTTCAAATACCTTTTGACTATTTCAAATCATAATTCCTGCTCTCAATCATCTATTATCAAATATTTAAATGGAAAGTATCATTAAGAATTAAAGATTGTTAATAGATATTTTCATAGAAAACTTTACAGATTATTTGTTTCTAATTTTAATTAGAGTTTACAGTGTCAAAGTCCTCCTTAAAAGTAACAGTAACATTTTATTTTTCCTATTATCTATTAATATACCAGTGATTATCCTTTTATATATCTTTCTAGGCACACACATGCATGTAGACAGACACACAGGCATAAACACAAATATACATTCATATGTAAAACAATTATATGTTGTCATATATGTTGTATAAAAAAGTTATATGATACATATTTTTTTTTTTTTGGTCGGGGGCAATAAAGTACCTCTCTCCTGCTTCTGCTGTCTTTACCTCCATATCTACTGGAAAATCAGTGTTAGCAACTTGGTATATTAGCCCACATCTTTATCCACACTCATATCGTCATATTTATTTATATTTATAAACAAAATTTTTAATTATATAAATGAGACCCTAAAATGTAAACTTCCTTATATTTTGATTTCCTCTTTTAATAATACATTGAGAAAATCCTCCCATAGTTAACTGATTCAGTTCAAATTCACTTCTTTCATGGCTGAATAATAATCCACAGTAAGACTGTACCATAATTTATTCAACCATTTTATAGTTGTGAATGTTCTTTCTGTTTCCAGGCTTTGCCCTCAGCCCTCATGAACAATGCTTCATTAAAAATCTTTGAACTTTATCCTTGTATAGGATGAATATTATTTACAGAATATATATCCAGCAGTAAGACTAATAGATCAAAGTTTATATAAATTTCTAATTTTGACAGATAATATCAAATTCAAAAGACTGTTGTAATTTACATTTTTCCCAGTTATATTAGAAAATGTTTCCTCTCTCACTTTCCTGTCATCAGTAGGTATTACTTCTCATTTTGCATAACTTATAAGTGAAAATAATGCATCAATTTAAAAAATATTTCTAATTATTAAGGAGGATGAGTATTATGTCATATATTTATTGCTCACACTGACATGTCTGTTCATAGTTTCTGCCCATTTGTTTCACTGGGTCATTTAAATTGTTTTCATCTAGTTTGTAAGAGGTTGTATGTGTGTGTTATAATTACCAGCCTTATAAATGCAAAATATGTTACATATACTTTCCCAACACACTTTTGTCCTTTCACTTTGCTTACGGAATTATCTCTGCAATAAAAGTTATATGGTTATGCCTATATGAAATTATTACTCTATTTCTCTTCCACATGCAACGGTTTTGCATTTGTGTCTCTTCCTCATCAATTGTCTTCCACGTGGTTTTAATATTCCCTCACATATTTGTACTTATTTCAGTTTTTTTCCAATTTTAGAGTCAGACACCTGAACATAGAATTTGTAAACAGATTTACTTTTGGATGAAAGTTAAACTTTAAAAACTGCGAATTAAATGGAAAACAACACTAAGGTACAGTTTAATTTGCAAATAAAATGTTACTACTTTATGTTATCTTTAGTGATTGTCTTTGTCACATATTTTCTCATAACAGTGATCAAGTGTGAGTATGTCAGAAGGAAACAAGACTCTGGTGACTGAATTTGTTCTCACAGGACTTACACAGAGACCATGGCTGCAGGTTCTCCCCTTCCTCCTGTTCTTGATCATCTACCTCACCACCATGGTGGAAACCTTGGACTGATGGCTCTTATTTGGAAGGATGCCCACCTTCACACACCCATGTACTTGTTCCTTGGTGGTTTAGCCTTTGCAGATGCTTGCACTTCAAGCTCTATAACACCCAGGATGCTGGTCAGTTTCTTAGACAAGACTGCAAAGATATCCCTAGCTGAGTGCATCACTCAATTTTATTTTTTTGCTTCCTGTGCAACCACAGAATGTTTCCTCCTGGTAGTGATGGCCTATGACCGCTATGTAGCCATATGCAATCCCTTGCTTTATCCAGTGGTGATGTCCACCAGACTCTGCACTCACCTGATTAGTATTTCATATGCAATTGGTTTTCTGCATCCCCTGATTCATGTGAGCTTGTTATTAAGATTAACTTTCTGCAGGTCTAGTGTAATATATTATTTCTATTGCGAAATTTTACAGCTGTTCAAAATTTCATGCAATGACTCATCTATTAATGCACTAATGCTACTTATTTTTGGAGCTTTTATACAAATTTCCACTTTAATGACCATCATAATCTCTTACACTCGTGTGCTCTTTGACATTCTGAAAAAAAAGTCTGAAAAGGGCAGAAGCAAAGCCTTCTCCACGTGCAGTGCCCATATGCTCTCTGTTTCATTGTACTACGGCACTCTCATTTTCATGTATGTGCGCCCTGCATCTAGCCTAGCTGAAGATCAGGACAAAATATATTCCCTATTTTACACAATTATAATCCCCCTGCTAAACCCATTTATTTACAGCTTGAGAAATAAAGAGGTTATAGGTGCTGTGAGAAGAGTTGCAAAGAAGTAAACAGTTCCCAAGGGAAATTTCAAATTGTTTCTCTTTTCACACTTTGCATAAACAAATCCCCAAGTCTTGCAGATTAGCCATAGTTCTTCCCTTTCACCAGAGTGGTAGAGGTTAGGGTGGTCACTGAGCACTGGGTGAAGGAACTCAGCTTCACACAATGTTTACTTGGATGTGGGTCCAGCTGAAGTTACTACTTCAGTTGAAATGACACACACCATCTACAACTGACATTAAAAATACTGCTGTTCCTTTTTATCTGAACAGTTAGTCTTTGAAAATTTGCCATCTTCAGGGGATTCCTCCCCCAAATTTCATTAATTTCATTTAACAATTGACAGTAACTGAGGCTGGTGTATAACTGCAAGTCATTTAGTTCATGACTGATCCTAAGTCACTAAGCTAGACTTCCATGTTAACAAGGCTTTGTGTTGCCACACCTTGATAAAGTGGTGAGAACTTAGATACTTGTTTCTAATATAGAAGTGAGGATAATAAAAAAAAGTGAAGAGGTTTAAAAAATTGCGGCCTCAATAACAATGAAAAAAAAAGTGGTTGACTTGAATTGAATAATGAAACATCAAAACTTGAAACTTTCTATATCTAAAAGTCCACACACTACTTTCATATAGGACATTATATGACACATTCATATTCAGGAATTTGTAGATTTGCAATATCTAAAGATATTTGATATCTCAAGATAATCTTAAATATTGCAGATTCCCTGTACTCTATTTACATGAGTATTTTGTTTGTAATAGTAATCCTGGTCAAACACTTGCAGAGAGATTGCATTGCTAAACTACAAGAGGCAGAAGTCAAGGATGAGAAACTGGTTAAGAGTACACGGAGGTGGGTGAAAAACTGAGGTAGTGATCACTCAAAGCTGAGACTAAGTTCTTGCAGTCTCAGCCACCAATTTACTTACAATTCAGTGACAGGGCCACATTAATATATATTTGCTAATTTACTTTAGTATAATGGAACTGACACAGAGCTCCTTTTTTTCTTTTGCAAAGACTTGATTATGTTCCTTGAGCAATCTGTTCAAGCACTGATTTTAGGAAAAAAAGAATTTACAGGACATGAAAATTAAATTCAGATTGTTGAAACAGGAGTGAAATGTTTCTCTTATTGAAGTATTATAAAATTATTCTTAGTTTTATAGCTATAATTCTAAAAAATATATCAAATACTTATCTAGGATAAAGACATGGTATATATTATATATTTATTGATTATTTGATTACGAATATAAATGAAAGAAATTCTATTCATTTGTATGGGTCTACTGTTTATTCCTACAGTTCCCCACTGACAATTTTTTAAAAAAAATTACACACCTGAAATATATTCTTTTTAAAAATACTATTGACATCCAGGATATTCTGATTAATTTTACTATCTTGGTGGCTAACTTAATAATTCAGGATATTTTTATTTTATAAGTTAGGATTGATTTTTACTATTATATTTTCTCTCCTTTTGATTAGGGCTCTATACCCTTTATGTTCTGATATACTCTATTAAATTCTTGCTATCATTTTGAAAAATATTATTCCTACATGTACATGTCTTAATATGTACATTTTTTAGTGTGAATGTATGACAATCCATAATGTTTCTAATTTCTGTAATTATTTTATGACTGAACTATTAGAGCTACAAACAATTATTAAATTTTTATTAACCTTTTAGTGCATATAATGATAACAAATATTTTGTATTCATCTAACCACAGTATAATTACCATATGCAGCAAAATTAATAATAGTTAATATTTAATATCCATATGTGTTCAATATTTCCAATAAATATCAAAAATTTTCCTATCTCTGTTTGAATCAGTATTTAAATAAAGTATACACATTGCATTTTGATGATAGTTTTTAAGTATTTTTCCTAAAGACTTCCTCTCCCCACAGCTCCTCTAGACACGGTTTTGCCCACCAGAAAACCAAGACCAGCTTCACCCACCAGAGGTCAAGCACTGGATCTGCCCTCCAGGAAGTCTGCACTAGCCTCTAGACCAACCTCGCCCACCAGCAGGCAGACACCAGATGTAAGAAAATCACAACTTTGCACCCTGTGGAGCCAGCCCACCCACAGCAGACCAGACCCTACCCTGGGACCAGCTAGACTCTGGCCCTGCCCAATAGCATGCCAACACAAGTTTTGGGACACCTTGCATCACATACTGAACTGTGTCAGAAACCACTCCCTCCCATACCCAACCAGTGATCTGATTCCAGCTCTGGGATTCCTGGATCCTGAAGCCAGACTCCAGGATCCAGCTCTGCCTGTCAGTAGTCCAGCACTAACCCCAGGACCTGGCTTCACCCACCAGTGAGGGGTGATGGGCAACAGCCCCAGGGTCTTCTGGATCCTGACTCTGCCCACCAGTGAGCCAGCACTAGCGCTGGGGCCCCCTGGGGTTCTGCAGTCAGCTGCCTTGTGACCAGGCCCCACTAACCAGCAGCCAACAGCATCTGCATAAGGCAAGGCCTGGAAACCAATCAGACTAGGGGCCACCTAAATCTACCAGACCACCTACATAGTCACCCGCCACAACAGAAGGATCCACAAAGCCATCTTAGGGGGAAACCCTAGAGAATACAGCTTATGTGATGAGAGGGGATTCTGCTACTGGACATCTGTAGAAGGCCACCTCTCCAAGGTTAAGAAATGTAACTAGCCAACCACTTTCATTAAAAAAACAAATAGCAACTTAGACAAAATGAGGTGGTAGAGGAACATGTTCCAGACAAAGGAAAAGACAAAATTCTAAAAGAAGAACTAATTGAAATGAAGACTGGAAAACTACCTGAGGAAGAATTCAGAGTATGATGATTAAAAAACTGATGAGTAAACTCAGGAGAAGAATGGATGTACAGAGTGATAAATTAGAATTTTTTAACAGAGTTAGAACATATAAAGAACAACCAAACAGAGATAAAGAATACAATAACTGAAATGAAAAATATAGTAGAATGAAGCAAAAGCAGACTAAATGATAAAGAAGAATGGATCAGTGACCTGAAGACAGACTAGTGGAAATCACTGCCACTGAACAGAAAAAAAAAGAATGAAAAGAAGTGAGGACAGTTTAAGTCCTCATTTATGTCCTCTGGGACAACATCAAGTGTGTTAATATTTGTGTTATAGGGGTCCCAGAAGGAGGAGAGAGAGAAAACAAGGCTCAGAACATACCTGAAATCAAATCTTTCTCTAACCCAGGAAAAAAAACAACCATCCAAGTTCTGTAAGTACAAAGTCCCATATAGGATTAACCCAAAGAGGAACATATGAAGACACACTGTAATTAAAATGACAAAAATTAAAGATAAACAGAGAACATTAAAAAAACAGCACGGGGAAAGCAACAAAACACATACAAGGGAACTCCCATGAGACTATTAGCTGATTTGTTAGCCAACACTCTGCAGGCCAGAAGGGAGTGGCATGATATATTTCAAGTGATGAAAGGGAAAACCTACAACCAAGAATACTCTATCCATTCAGATTTGATGGAGAGATCAAAAGCTTTACAGACAAGCAAAAGCTAAAAGAGTTCAGCACCACCAAACCAGTTTTAGAATAAATGTTGAAGAAACATCTCTAGGTGAAAAAGTGAAGGCCACAACTAGAAACAAAATAACAAAGTGAAAAAGTTCACTGATAAAGGCAAATAAAGAGCAAAGATAGAAAATAATCCACACACAAAGCTAGTAGGGAGGTTAAAATAAAAGTACCAAAATTATCTATATCCACAATGAGCAATAAGGGATATACAGAATAATTAAATGTAAAATATGGTATCAAAAACAGTAATTGGGAGGGCAGTACAAATGGTTTTTAAAAATGCATTTGAAATGGCAAGATCAGCAGCTTAAAACAATCATATATATATAGACTGCTATACAAAAACCTCATCATAACTGCAAACCAAAAATCTATAATAGATAAACACACAAAAAAGAAAGAGGTATCCAATCATAACATTAAAAATAGTCATCAAATAAGAGAAAAGAACAACAAAATAAAGGGAAAAAAAGGCTTACAAAAACAAACCCAAAACAATTAGCAAAATGGCGATAAGGACAAACATATTAATAACTACCTTAGTTCTAAAGGTATTAAATGTGCCAACCAAAAGACATAGGGTGGCAGAATGGATACAAAAATAATACCATATGTGTGCTGCCTATAAAAGACTCATTTCAGATCTAGAGATACGTGTAGACTGAAAAGTGAGGGGATGGAGAAAGGGATTCCATGCAAATGAAATCCAAAGAAAGCCACAGTAGCAATACTTATATTAGACAAAATAGACTTTAAAATACTGTTATAAGAGACAAAGAAGGACACTATGTAATAATTAAGAGATCAATCCAATAAAAAGATATAGCAATTATAATATATACAGACCCAACATAGGTGCACCACAATACATAAGGCAAAAATTAACAGTCATAAAAGGAGAAATTGACAGTAACACAATACTAGTAGGGGACTTTAACAGCCCACTTACATCAATAGACAGATTATCCAGACAGAAAAGCAATAAGGAAACACTGGCTTAAGTGACACATTTGACCAAATGGAATTATTTGACATATATATATATATATACACACTACTAAACAACCAATGGATCAATGACAAAATTAAAGAGTAAATGAAAAAAAACACCTGGACAAATCAAATGAAAACACAATAATCCAAAATCTATGGGATGTAGTAAAAGCATTTCTATGAGGGAAGTTTACAGCAATACAAGTTTACCTCAGGAAACAAGAAAAATCTCAACAACCTAACCTTACACCTAAAGGAACTAGAAAAAAAAGAACAGATAAAACCCAAAGTTAATAGAAGAAATCATAAAGATCAGAGTAGAAATAAATTAGAGAGTAAAAAAAAAATAGAAAAGATCAATGAAACTAAGGGCTGGTTATCTGCAAAGTAAACAAAATCGATAAACCTTTAGAAAGACATATCAA